TTTTACACGTACACAGATATTCTGTAACACCTCTCTATATTAACTACTTCATATTAGTATAGGTTGCCAGAGGTGTTTCTTATTTGGTTAGACTAATTCTTTATCACAGATCCCTTTATGTTCACCACTTTTCTCACCACTCCAGTTTGTACTACAGTTGTGTTATCCTTCCAAATCAAGATCCCAAGACCGCCTTAGGGTTGTTGGTGCTACCTTGCCACCAGCAGGATTTATTTGCGCAACCTTCCTGTCATCAAACCTTCTGTAACGTTACTGTCATACGTAGTGCTCTTCTTCTTCATAATGGATCTCCTTCCAGAAATTCCTAAACCAAATTCATACTTCACTTGGACTTCCACAGGGTTTTTGCATTTAAATACTCTAGAAACCACTTCTAGTAGGACTTGAACCAAAGACCTCGGCTGTGGGGGGTAGGCACTTAAACTACTAAGCTATAGGGCCCTAACCTAAAAACTTATTTGTTGTCTTTCTTAAACCAACTATTTTTAACTTTGTCAGCAGAAACAGTGCTTCTATTAAAATTTTCTGTCTAAAGACACCACCTTCTTGCCAATTATTTTATATAAGAATGCTTTTAACTTATATGCTGAATATACTAAGGAGTTCAGAAAAAAACCAAAGAAGCTTTTGATCTTAGTAAAAACTGTTATTTGTAGTTGTTTCTTCTACTTTCTTCTAACAAGTTTTTGTTTTTATTAACTATAAGTTTGGTACAAGTGACACCCCCTATTTTTGTTAATGCTACTATTACACCTGAAAACAACCTCTTATAAGTTTGATATAATGATTCTACTTTAGCTACAGATATATTAGACGATTAATAACAATACTGTGTTTATGCTTAAGTAAAATATATGATTTATTGTATTTATGCTTTAAGAGGATTCAAGTGATTTGCATTTAACAAAAAAGGCAAATGGCTAAATATATATGAAGATATAAGTAGTTGTATTAATAGGAGTTTACTCTTTATTACTTTGTTTTATGAGAAACTAATAATTTGAGGGAAAATAATAGGGCTATTTATACATGTTCTTGGACTGGAAAATATTATATATCAATTATACTAGATCTATTCTATAGATTAATTAATATGAAAGCAAATATAACTAATATATATGAAGAACTAATTACAGTGAAGTAAATAATAATAGAATGGATAGAACTAGTAGAATTGGTAGAATTGGTAGAACTAATAAAACTAGTAGAACTAATAGAACTAGTAGAACTAGTAGAAATTGTAGAATTCTTAGCACATGCGTTACATGGTCACGTATTTCATATATCATTAATTATGTGAAATTGCAGACAGTCGTGATTGACAAGTTTTAGGTCTAATATTCCTTCCCCTTTAATTATGAGCTTCGCAAATAATCAATTATAACTACTCTTAATCTAATTAATTAATTAGATTCCATTTGTCAATTAAAAAAAAAGGACAACTAGCTTGAAACATTCTATGAACGTTATCCATATCAGCTCGAATTAACAAGAATAATTTCACTAAACTGTATGTTTGCACAATTGTTTATTATTTTAGCTAATTTTTTTTCTACAGTTTTGGTACAAGTTCTGTCAAGCATTATATTATACATCTGTGAAAGAATGTTATACAATTCTTTAAAAGAAGTGGTAAATTTTCATCAGAAATATTGCAAATTATTATTGCGCTGTCCAACATATATCTAACTCTAGATCGAGTTATGCCATGAGAATATAATTCATAAATTCTCTTAAATTCTTCAAATTGTAAAAGGAACTGGGATATCGTGATCCTACAAGGGTTTGTATGCAAATGATTCTCAGTTACAGTCATACACTCGCATTGACTACCACTAGTATCAGTATTCTCAGCAAATAAATCCCTTTCATAAACTTTGTTAACTAATGTCACTTTTTGTTTTCTCTGTTTTCTTGGATCTAACATTTTTCTTGCTTTTTTTGTACAGGTTTACTACTGTCATTATATCGAACTGACAAATTGAACATGTGATCGACTAGCAAATTATAAATATTACTTGTAGTAAGTGAATTGATTTCTGATGATCTATTTTGTCTCATGTTATGTGATCCTAGACTACACTCTGACTCACTCTCTTCTGTTGCTATCCAAACACTACCTTCACTATATAATTTTTTAAGACTAAATCCTTCAGTTTTATTATTACTAATCTCAAGACTCTTACTTTCTTCAGGGCCAATGCATTCATCATTCAATTCTTTGCTTGAGACGTTAAAATTTTCTATTTTCCGACTGGTTTCTACAACTCGAGGCTTTTTTGATATAAAGTTATTTTGCAATGCTTTACTTCTTGTGATATGGTTAATTTGGGCTCTTTTGTATCTTGACCTATTTCGATCTTTAGATTTTTTGTTGAAATCACTCTTCGAGGTACAAGCTTGTCTGAAAGAATTATTATCAGACTTGAACTCTCTAATAGGTAATAATTTTTCATTTAGAGCTCTCATTTTACTATGCAACAGTTTTTCTGATTCTTTATCTAACGTAGTAGGGTCTTTCTCCAGGTTCGACATTTCATCATAACTTTCTTCAAGAGGCTGAAATTCACTGAAAGAGTTGCTAACCCTTAAAAACTCATCCATCTCTAACTCGTTAAATGGATCAAGAGTCTTGTCTGCACTTAAGTTAGGGTCTTTGTCAATGTAATTTTCTTTGAGACTTGTACTTTGGCAGTTATTTGTTGATAATCCACAACTTTCTTGAGGAATCAAGTTATTGGCGTTTTCGTCTGGAAATGCTTCTCTAAACATTTCTATAGTTTCATCAAAACTTAAAAATAAATTTAAGTTAATTATCTGCTTTTTATTCAACTTTAATATTATACTGATATCCTTATTTTCTTTTATAGGTTCATCAATTTCTACAACCAATTTTTGATTTCGGTCATAGACAGTCTTTCATCATAATCTTTTATTTGGTCTTAAACAGATAATTCCTGTGGAGCTACTATTGTCATAAGATAAGCATTGTCATTCTTAACTTTCTCTAAATTATTTTATTCTGTTCTGATATACTATTATTAACTAAAACTTTTTTACAGGATCTTGCTGACTTTCCGAATTATCATTAATGTATGATTCTTGCGATTCCTGAGAACAATCAGATTGGATAAGATAATTACACTGTTCTTTAAACTCTTCCTTATTATTATTATCATGTTTTAACTGTATTTTATTAACATCACTCTTCTCTTCTATAGCTTTGTTTATAGCTTCAAACTCAGTGATCGGTTCTTCATCAGAGGACTCTATTGTGATTGATCCTTCAAACAGCACATTCATTATACAATCAGTATCTATTTTCTTTACATTATCATCGTTGTCTTTCTTTATATTTGAGACTATACTAACTATTTGATCTATTTTTTTTAGGTATTCCAATTCCAATTTTTACGTTTCAAGAAGATCATCAAGCTATTTGATTACAAGACTTAAATGATTCGGTGTATGTAAGCTATAACAATCAAGCATTTTGGTTTGTTTTTCGTTTATTTCCTTATTATAGTTTTGTTCTTTTATTGCCACATTATTAACCATCTCATTATCCCATATAGAGCCTTTAGGATCTTTAGTATCGTTCTCAATAATGCACTTTTTCAGGTTAGTATAATAAACAAATTCTTGATCGTTGTAATTCTCTATCTTTATATTAACATTACTGTTAACTGTTTAATATGTCCTTTCTATAAAACGTCAGAGTAATATCATGCTTAGGACTATTATAGAGATATTAATGACTAGGAATATACGGGTTATATAATACGATTCTTCTAAGATATATATCTTATAATAAGTGTCGCTTCAGTCATTTTATACATTTAATTAAGCTAATAATTTCTTTTCAATTATATATTTAGGTTCCTATAATATATAATTATTCTAATAAAGTGCAATATTAGTGTTACTAATATAATTCATGCAATTCTCTTTTGTTTATCACATGTTATCATGTGAATTTGCTGATATCCACTATTGTAATTAACAAGATGAGTTTTGTTAATACACATTTCCTACAAATATGTCTGCTTAATACTAATAACAAAGTAATGTGATTGTTTACTTTTGCTATTTATCTCAATATGTCGTATGCTTTGATAAGTATAAGTGTGAATGTCCTATATTGATATCGCGAAGCAATGACTTTCTAATTCTATACTGTATATCAGTTAAATCTGTATCTCACAGATATTATTCAGTAAATACACAATTACGGTTTAAATCTATCTTATGATTAAATCTGAATCTCTCAGATTATTCCAAAATCTCACACAATCGTTATATATCAGTATTCAGAGGCATTTTCTATGATTTAATAGCACAGTTGCAATAAATATCTGATGCATATAACAAATTATATCTCACTATTCAGTTCATAAACCAAATATTCCGCAGTTTAATCTATATCTTTACTGATTTTCTTCACAGAATTCTTATTTCGCAATATGGGTTGAGTTGTATCTCACAGTCACCACCAAATGTTACACCTGAAAACTACCTCTTATAAGTTTGGTATAACGATTCTACGATTGATAACAATACCATGTTTATGCTTAAGTAAAATATATGATTTATTGCATTTACGCTTTAAGAGGATTCAAGTAATTTGCATTTAACGAAAGAGGCAAACAGCTAAATATATATGAAGATATAAGTAGTCATATTAATAGGAGTTTACTCTTTATTACTTTGTTCTATGAGAAACTAATGATTCGAGGAAGAATAACAGGGCTATTTATACATGTTCTTGGACTGGAAAATATTATATATCGATTATACTAGATCTATTCTAGGGATTAATTAATGTGCAAGCGAATATAACTAATACATATGAAGAACTAATTACAGTGAAGTAAATAATAATAGAACGGATAGAACTAGTAGAATTGGTAGAATTGGTAGAACTAATAAAACTAGTAGAACTAATAGAACTAGTAGAACTAGTAGAAATTGTAGAATTCTTGGCGCATGCGTTACATGGTCACGTATTTCGTATATCATTAATCATGTGAAATTGCAGACAGTCGTGATTGACAAGTTTTAGGTCTAACACTACCCCCTATATAACTCCGATTACTTAAAGTTTTATAAAAATATTTAACTTGCTATAAAATTTTTTAAAAAAATTTAAACTTTATATTAAAATATTTGTATAGTTTAAAAAAACATATCTTTATCTTAACATAAACCTGTTTGTTATCTTAAAAAATGTTTTTATTATCCTATGGATACTATGTAATAACCCGTGCTTTTTTGACAAAGTTATTTTCATCGGTCTATATGAAATCACATGATTCATATAGACCGATGTGAATAACCTTGTCATAAATCATCGTGTTTATGTAAGTTTGAGTCCTTTAAATTGTCATGTGCAAGAATTATTTAGATTTCGGTCTTCTAAATTGTCATGTGCTAAGAAGAATATTATTATATTTCGGTCTTTTAAATTGCCATGTGCTAGGGAAAACATTATTAGGTTTCAGTCTTTTAAATTGTCTTGTGCTAGAAAAACTTTATTTAAGTTTGGGTCCTTTAAACTGTTGTGTTCAGAGAAGGATTTATTATGTTCTTTAAATTGTCGTGTATTGAGAAGGACTTCTAAAATTGTTATTTGCTAAAGAACTAGTTCTTTTTAATTTTTTTTTTTAATAAGAATATTTTTTTAAAAATTTCATATATAAAATTTTATAAAATTTTTCTTTAACAACCCACCCGGTTATTAAAACATATAAAAAAAAAGTTTCCAAATTTTGACCTATAACACGACTTATAAAAACATCCATCCAACCCCCGAATCAGGGAAGTTTGTTTAATTGGCTGATATAAATTCATTCATTGTTCGGTGACCTATTTATATGTTTTGAATATTTTAAAAATTATGTAATTTGATTGGTTAATTATCACGGGTAATCACCGGGTAGATCAATATGAACTTATAAAAGGTAATATCGGGAGTAACACTATGAAACCATTGCAGCAATCTAGATCAATCCGAACTAACTAACCCAATTTGGATTTCATGTCAGGAGTTTGTCCAACAGACAAAATAAATAAACACGACCTTCGGTGTGCACTTTTGACACGTTTAAAAATAATCATGGCTTTTACTATCGGTTTAACTGACGTAATTGATGCATTTCCTAACGACGTAACCGATGATTATAAAAAACTATACGAAACTAAAGAAGATTATGATACAATTATCATCGCTGGAGAAGAAACAGATGATGTTAAAGAGTTTAAAGTTCATTCTTTAGTTCTTCGTACTAGATCATCTTATTTTCGTACTGCATTTTCTCGTAAATGGGCTAAGAATGAAAATGGGCATTTGGTTTTTAAAAAGCCTAACATTAATGCATTAGTCATTGAAATTATTCTTAAGTAAGCAATGAATTATTATAATATAACAATAATCATTCAAGATTTTATGTCTATATTGATATATAATACAATTGTTATAAATTCAAAAAATAGGTATCTGTATTATGGAGTAGCGGATTTTAAAAGTCAAAAATGCGAAATAATCTTACAACTTCTTAGCGCAGCAGATGAACTTGGAATTCAAAGACTTATTGATTCTGTTCAAGAATTTTTAATTAAATATTGCACCAAGTTTTTACAATCAGATTCCATTAAAATATTTAATTATATTATCGAAAATGAATCATTTACCAAACTTGGAGAAGCTTTTTTAAAGGAGATTTGTGAAAATCCTAATTTACTATTTAATTCAGAAGAGCTCGTTTCATTAAAAAAAAAAGCACTAATATTGATTATTAAATGTGATAATCTCGAAATGAAAGAAAGTGAAATCTGGAAACGAATAATTAAATGGGGAATCGCTCAACATCCGACATTCCCAAGTGATGTGACAGAATTTACACATGAGGATTTTAAGACGTTAGAAAAGACATTACATGAATTGATTCAACTTGTTAGATTTCATCAGATAAATCGTGAAGAGTTCATGGATGAAGTATGGGTATACAGACACCTCCTTTCTGATGAACTAATCGAGGATATATTCCGTTGCTATTTAGGTTCAAGAGCCGTACCACTCTGTCACGCATTTCCAGTCAGATGTGGCAATTTTAAAATTGACTCAGTTATTATTAATACGAAGATTGCAAAATTATTTACAAGATGGATAAGCGAAAAAACTTTGGATAATAAGAGTTCAAAGAAAGTTCCATATAAATTTAATCTTCTTTTTCGAAGTAGTAGAGATGGTCTTTCATCCTACACGTTTCATCAAAAATGCAATAATAAAGGGGCAACGATTGTTGTGGCGAAATTATCAAATTCAAATATGCTAGTTGGCGGTTATAATCCTCTTGATTGGAATGGAAGTGGTTTCAAAAATACAACAGATAGCTTCTTATTTTCATTAAAAGATCCAAATAATCTTCCAAGCGCAAAATTAAAACGCGTTACTAATAGTAATTGTGCAATTTATTGCCATAACGAATGTGGACCAACTTTCGGAGGTGATTCCTTAGGTAATCAATCTCCTCTCGGAAGTAATCTAATTTCCGGAAATAGTCAAACACCCAGAGGTTTTCCTATATCTTTCGGTGGTAATCAAACCACACTTTTCGGAGGTAATCAAACTTCTAGAGGTATAGCGATATCAAATCCAACTCTCGGAAGTAGCCTAACTTCTGGAGGTATTCAAACTTTCGGAGGTGGTGTTTACGATTTATACGCACCAAATGGCAGTAATAATTGGCAATATAATGCACAATCCTATCCTAACATCGGAATCACAAATTCATTTACAATCTCAGATTATGAAGTGTTTCAAGTAGTTATGAACTAGCACAAATGAAAAATATTTCTTTCCATTGTGTATATGGGCTTTCAATATTTGATGCTAAACTTTAAAATCATTTCAAATTCATTTCCCGATATTGTTGTATCCTAACACAAATAAGAACCCACATCTTTTTTGAGGTCAGTGGTGTATATTTTTACGGTGGTGATTTGTGGATGTAATGACTTTATTTGCTTTATTTAGTTTTTACCAAACTAAAGATACAGTGTTCTTGACAAAATATCTAATAAATAGATTTTATATCTGATATATAAAATCATTTTCTACATTACGTAAAGTCACAAATTTAATATAAAGATTGTTATTGTTATGGATGAATTTAATTTATTGAATTTTTAGTGATGAAAAAACGTTTGATATGTTTTAAAAAATGGGACCTTATCATTTCACAATCACTTCATAGATACCTTATTTCACGATAATACTCTAGCTCAACTCCCCTCACACAATTTTTGCCAGGAGGTAATTTACAACCAGTTAGTACATTAAAAGTCAGTAAATTATGAAGTAAAATACCCCAATATTTTTCTTATACAATGGATTATTATAGTTTTGATTATAACTGGGATATTACCCTTTAATAACAACCTGGGCGGCTATTATTACAGTATTTTGAAAGTTACATCAAAGTATTTAAAGATTTAAAAAAGTTATTTTAACGATTAAAAAAAAAAATCTTGACTTTACAATTGTAAAGTTAAAATTA